TAAAAAAAATTTCTAAAAAAAAAAAAAAAAAAAAAAAAATAATATACCTAACCTACAGAACACCATAGCTTAGCCTAGCCTACCTTAAACTTGCTCAGAACACTTACATTAGTCTACAGTTGGGCAAAATCATCTAACACAAAGCCTATTTTATACTAAAGTATTGAATATCTCATGTAATTTATTGAATACTGTGCTGAAAGTGAAAAACAGAATGGCTGTATGGGTACAGAATGGCTGTCAGTGTATCAGTGTTTTCCCTCGTGATCGTGTGATCACGTGGCTGACTGGGAGCTGCAGCTCACTGCCCTGCCCAGCATCACGGGGGTGTATCATACTGCATATCGCTAGCCCAGGAGAAGATCAAAATTCAAAATTCTAAATACAGTTTCTACTGAATGTGTATCACTTTTGCACCATTGTAAAGTCGAAAAATCATAAGTCGAACCATCGTAAATCAGGGACTGTCTGTAATAACTACAATGTTTCACCAGCACAAAGATTTTTAAAATCAAGGTCAGTATTGTTTCCACTATTTGAGACTGTCCCTCTTCCCCTATATCTGGGACAGTGTTGGTTCCCAGAGCAGGTGCTCAAGAAAACACTGCAGGAGGCAGGAGCCACTGATGAGCAAACATCAAACAACAGTACCCAGGAGACGGGGTGAAGGCCGTCTCTTCTGGTGGTTCTGTGACTTGAATCCACAAGGGGGATTATTAGCACATGGGATAAGGTTAGCTTTACATTTTCAAAGGCGGAGTCCACATGAGAACACTAATATGATTTGTCAGCTTTCTCCTGTGTGTGCGCTTTTCAATTTTGACCGGGGCAAGAATACAGAAAAATAACACATCTTTAAGACGTGAAGAGTTCCCAACTTGTTGCAATAACTCAATTCTATTATGTGACAGAAGAGAAGAATTTGCCAAATCCAGAGAGGAAATACGTGGTATGAAAACAATCCTTCAGGCACCGCTCAGTTCACCGACTTCAATTCCGTGAGCTCTATTTCTCCACATCAGAGTACAGAGGACAGAAATAAAGCTGAAGAAGTGTCACCAGATGAGACCATGCTGAACCCAGGGCCACTTCAGGTTGTACCAACCAGAGAGGAAAGACCCTGCTCCTTCAATGTCATCAGTTAGAGTCCAGATAAGTGACCTTGGCTGACTTTACAAGTTTGAATCAGCACATCTTTAAAAAAAAAAAAAATTTCAGCCTAAGGAGCACTTGGGATATCTGGTACCCATCAAAAAATGGCTTCAGATTTTCTAAACGCCTTCCTTCAAAGACATATGACATTTTTTTCCACAAAGTTCTTCTTCTTTTTTTTTTTTGTGAGGAAGATTAGCCCTGAGCTAACATCTGCCAATCCTCCTCTTTTTTCGCTGAGGAAGACTGGCCCTGGGCTAACATCCACGCCCATCTTCCTCCACTTTATATGGGATGCCGCCACAGCATGGCCTGACATGCAGTGCGTCGGTGTGCGCCCAGGATCCGAACCAGCAAACCCCGGGCCGCACTTAACTGCTTGCGCCACCGGGCCGGCCCCCTCACAAAGTTCTTAAAAAGGCAAATGTCACTGTATTATAGTGGACTTCTAGAAAAAAATTTAAAGGGATTTGTTATCAGTGAAGAATCTTTTAAAAGGATTTAGACAATAATATACTATTTTCTAAGAAAGTAACATGAACAAATCATTTATTTGCAAAAATTAACCCACAATAACTCACACGGGTATTGTGTAAGAAAGTAACCGAGCGGAGAAAGTCCCTGCCATGCTGAGCATCAGGGAACCTGGATTCTAGTCTCTGCTCAGTTCCTCACTAGCTGTGTGACTTTCTGCAAGACATTTAACCTTTCTGTGCCTCATCTCTGTACCCATCTGTAAAAAGAGGAGGCTGAAGAAGTCTCTTCATGCCACTTTCAACACTAAGATTCTGTTTCTGTTAATATAAAGAATGTAGTGTGTCATCAGTCTGATCCTGAATTTGGTTCTCTGTCCATGTTTCCAAGTATGGAAACATGGAAGGTGGATGGCTTCCTGAGATCTGGGACAGACAAATGGGAGACATTACTAGAGGGAGCCATGTCCTGCGAGCATCTCTTTCCATTAGAACGTTTGTACTGTTGCTCCACCTTGGTGAAATACCCAAAGCAGTCAGATCAATTAATCAAGGCAAGTGGGGCCACCCAAATAAGGAAGGAAGAAGACCCCCAGTGGCCACCCCAAGGCAAGGTGGGACACACAGACCACGGGCGCTCAGTTACAGAATCAACCAGTGGCCCCTGGAAAGTGTCTGACCTGAGAGATGACCGAGTTCTTGTACTCCCAGAGCTTCCTGGCCTCGGCTTTCTCCTCGTTACTCAGCAGCTGAGGCCTGGGAGCCTTCCCAGAAGCCCTGGCCTCAACGAATCGGGTTGCCAAGCACCACAGACGCTGCTGCCATCTCAGCACCCCGGGGAGAGCATCGGCTGAGTTGAGTGTCGGTGAATGAGAGAGAGACAGAGAGAGAGACATGAGGATGACTGACTGGGTTATCCGTAAGCAAGAGAAGCAACTGTGAATTGAAGAGACCCTTCATTGTGCCCTGATGGATCTCCCCAAGGACAGGTTGAAGGCTCCTCCTTGGCTTCCAGTGCCTGGGCACTCAGACCAGGACTGAGTCACCATATCCTAGAGCCCCAGATATTCAGAGCACTGGATGGCAGGACTACGCAAAGTGCTGCCCACCAACTGTCACTGGCCCATGATAAGCTTAGAAGTTTGGGCCAGGATGTGCATCAGTGCGCTGCCTCCTTGATCAAGAAAGCTTGCTGTGACGAAAATGTCCATGGAACTAACAGTGTGCTTAGAAACACAGTTGACTTACACTGGTGCAAGTTCCTCATCTCATGCAGTAGCACGCGTGTAACATGCAGCAGCATGCGTGTAACATGCAGCAGCACGCGTGTAACACGCAGCAGCAGCGGTCTGCAGACCACATTTGGAGCTGCGCTGCTGTAAAGCATGAGGTGCTTTAACACAATCCCTGCCCTCACTAGATGGGTGTGTATTACGTATTTCTAACACATTCATCAAATCTAGTTGCTAATCTGATCTTCTGCGGAAGGTGAATGGCTTCATCTCGTGACCCTGGGTCACATGGCTAGCCAAATTAGGGCCAGGCCAGGTCTTTTACTCTTTGGTCTCTGGACTAGGCATTCTCAAGCCTGGATGCACAGCACGGCCTTCTGGAAGGCTTGTTAGAAACACATTCCTGGAGTCCGTCCCTCAGAGAGGGTGGGGAACCAGAAACTGTGCGTGAACGTCCGTGCTTTCTAAGCCCCGCAACTCTAACGCAGCTGGTTCTAGAGCTGGCGTCTGTGATCACAACTCTCTTTAGACATGGTACATCAAAATAAATGGTGATTCCAGGCATCTGATTTCTTCTTCCCATAATACGACTTGGGGCAGACCACACGAAGGAAAAGCGAATGACTGTTGGACAGGTTATTCTAGGATATCCAGGTACCCAAGATGATTTTACCTCACACCATTTTAGATCTAAACAAACTTGGAGAGAAGAATATCCCCTCAGGGGGCTCTGGAGGCTGCTGTGGGTGACTGAAGAGGTCACAGGTAATATCAGGACCAGGCCCCAGGAGGGGTTTTCTGGATGGGTAAGGGGTGATGACACTGTTCTAGAAAAAACCTTCCTGGGTAGATCAAGAGAGGAGCACAGTGGGCCTAGGAGTAGCACGGAAGCCGGTCTATCTCCATGGAAATGTTCTCAAGGTGGGGTCCTCATAGAACCTGCATCAGAACACCACAGACTCGTTAAAGGCCGGCTCCTGGGCCCCATGCTGGGGGCCGTGTCAGCAGGTCAGGGGTGAGGACTGGGAATCTGCAAGCACAATGAGGTCCCCAAATGATTCTGAGGCTCCTTGACATCTGAGAACACCGGTCTAAGAATGGTACAGGAGGTTGGACAAACTACTACTTGCTTCATGGAACTGATTCCTGGAATCCTCTACTAGTGTCTTCAGCAAAGACATTTCCTTCCCCGAATTCCTCCAGCATCCGAGGCAGATCACAAAGGAGGCAGGCCAGGACGAGGAAGGTGACTTACTCTTCACATCCCACAAGATATCCTTCTCAGGAGGGGCAGCGAAAAGGATGTAGAGCCGGATGGTGTCGATGCCGTACTGCTCGACCACCTCCTCGGGGTCCACCCCGTTGTGTTTGGACTTGCTCATCTTCTCCCATGTCACCTCTAGCTTCTCTTTCGTTTTTGCATGAACAGGAACAGAACCTAGACACCAAAATAATATACACAGGTATGGTATGTGTGATTCTGAATAGGTTCTATAAAAATATATTCAACAAGAAAATACTGGGTGAGCAAGTTCAAGTGTCCATTTGGAGAATCTCACTAATTCAATTAACATGCCTCTTTCTCTCCTTCTATGTTATATCACAAAAAATGCTTTTGTTTTCAAATAAATGAGGCCCACGTCCCACCACAAATCTTCCTTTCATGAATATACAGTACAGTTATAATGGTCTGTGCCAGCTTTTTCTCAACCACAAAATAAGACGAAGAAATTTCCTCCCTTTATAAAAGTAAATTACTTATATACAAAAAGAGGAAGGGAAAAAAGGATAAGAAAGGCTCGCACATATTGCTATTTTCTTTATGGATTCAGGGTCTCCTCTGGAAGCTGGCAGCTGACCCATCAGGGTCTCAGAGCAACAAAACACCCGAGAGGTCTCTTCACTTCGAGGCCTGGTCCCCTGTCCATGTCGTAGTCACCAAAAAATGGTCTGGCATCATCAGGGCCCATGGAGTTAACTCACTGGGATCACATGAAATGTGCGTCCCCTTGCGGTGCCGGCTTGCTACACCGCGTTCTTTGGAAGTGTCTCCTCTTCACCCACACACCATTGGTCCAGATGGTGCTGAAGGCGGAGGCCTTAAATGGCCATGTTTGGATGAAGTGACCTTGTTGCCAAGCTCCAGTGACAAGGACCAGGAAGGACATCTGACCAGGTTTAGTCTCTTTCTCAGGAAATGGAACTAGAGACAGAAACTCTGTTTTGATGATGTTGGGCACTGGAACTGTAAGGTCATAGAGAGATGGGGCAAGACTTGGCATTGTGGCTCCCCAAGGTCACTCTGTAAACTGAATTAGGGGAGAGCAGAATCCAAGCCTGGCAGAGGAAGAACAGGGCAGAAGAACAGAGAGAAGCAAGAAGAGGAACTAGAGGCTTGAGAAAGAGGAGAAAGGCGTGGCCTGGTGACTCCCTCCACGCCGTGAGGCCTGTGAACATCTCCCAAAGCTGGGTTTGGGTGACATCCCTAATCCTTGTGCTAAATCTGCCTTTGGGTGGATTTCCACTCCTTCCAGCTCAATAATCTCTGACTCCAACAGCAACCAAACTCCCAAGGGACGGCATATATACCTAAAAGCCAAGTCCAGAGTTCATGAGAGGCTCACTCACTAAGTAGATGGAGGCCTGCCTGTGCGGATCCAAGTATTCTTGCCCAGGGTGCGAGTCTGCGTGGGAAGGGAAAGGATGTCTACAACACTGCCTGGCCCCATGACATCAGAGCAAAGGGAGACTGAAGTCCTGGAAGATGTTTTATCCTGGCTGTGGTGGGGCTCAGGGAACTACTGCCCCCACTACGCTACACACCCTCTCCAGGCTGCAGCTAGCCTCTATAGCACTGTTGTGCAAATTAGGAAAAAGGCATCTTTCTGCGCAGAGAAATTGAGAAGTTAGAAGAAGGTGCCCTCTCCTGGTAGATGTGGCCCTGAGGTGTTGAGTTTGGCAAGTGGCTGGATTTAGAGCCCTGCTTACCCCCTGGCTGGGTGTCTTTGTGCAGTGCACAAACTGCACAGCTATATGTGGCAGCCTTGCCCATGACACAGAGAGCACTTCACTACCAGGTGAAATGTACATGCCCCCGGGATTTAGCTCCTTTCCCCTCTGGTCTGTGTTGGAGAAACAATGCCAATTTCTGCTTCTCCAGCTTCTTTTTCTCCCATGGACCAGAGTGGCTATTCCAAAGTCTGATATATTACTGCATTAATTAGGTAATTCCATTGACTGCTTCCACCTAACCTTCTCTCTAGTGTTTGGCTTGGGAAGCTGCCTACCATTTAAGGGGCTGTTGGGTTTACCTCATCTCACCCATTGTGTACTGGTTTTTCTAAATGTAATGGCCAGAGTGCTGGGGGTTTCTCACAGCTGCCTCCATGGACACGCCTCTCCCCATTTTCTAACATGTTATTTGTATGCCAGGTGCACATGACCCATCCTCATCATGCCCCCTAAAGATCCAGCAGGAGGAACTAGTACCTTTGAGGATGAGTGAAAACAGAGTGGAAGGAAAAGGCCTGGGAAAGCTGGGAGAAGGGGACGTCCAGGGAATCAGGGAGAGGTCTTCCACCAGGGCAGCGCCAGACGGGGCTGCTCCGGGAGTACAGTGGTGGCCCCCGAGGTTCTGAAATACGCCTCTAGACCACTGGGGAGAAAGGCTGGAAGCACCCCAGTCTTGGAAGAATGTCTCTTAGGTCTGGGGGCTCTGTCCCTGCCATGGGCTGTCAAACACGGGCTAGGACAGGAGGTGATACCTGAGTTAACTCCATGTTACATACAAATGAAAACCCTGCCAGAAGCTGAACAAACACTTAAGCTGGATAGAGATGGGGCTAAGGAGCAGACAGCCAGCCCCAGCCCTGGCCCCAGCCCCAACCTTCAGAGGGTGCCAGCCCAGAACAAGCCGAGGCTTTCAGACCAAGAGGCCAGCGGCTCCCTCTCCTGGATTCTCCACCCAGCCAAGGCCTTGTGGTGTACGCCTGCTTGCTCAAAGGCTCTTGGGCCTGGCCTCGGTTGTCTGCCAGTACCTGGATGGGCCCAAATGGGCCATTCTTACCTGTGAGATCTACTTCCTCTCTCTGTAGATACTGTCCAGATGGTAGGCGGAATGTCTGCCCCTTGATAAGGCCTTGGGCCAGCAGCTTATGAAAAGGCTCTCTAGGAAAAGATAACAGGAAAACACAATTGGTGGGGTTGGGATTCGAAGCATCCAGAAAACAGCAATACAAACCTTACCAGTTGATGGATACAGATAACTGCCCTTCATGAAAACAGGTAGGCTGACCAATGCCATTTGTAAACCCAGCTTGAACAAACGGCTCCTTATAAATAAGCAATAAGAAAATTAAGTCAAATCAGCAGATATTAACCACTTTCCACCGCAGCGGAGTGGAAAAAGCACCAGGCTTCACATGTGGAAGGCCTGGGTTTCAATCTCAGTTCTGCTTCTCAGTGAATTCTATGACCCAAGGCAAGTCACTTACTTGTTCTTAGCACCAGTTTGCTCATCTGTAAAACGGAGGTAATAAAGATCTGCCTTAAAGACAAACAGGATGCAGATATTTTTAGCCAAGGGTTCAACTGAGTCAGTTCCTGTATTGTATAGAAGGTCCAAAGGGCAAGGAGACCCAAGGAGAGAGCTGTGAGATTTAGCCAAGCCAGAGAGCATGCAGCAAGTATGAAATCCCTCAACTGCAAATGGGGGATGATAATGGCCATATCGTAAGACTTTTATTGGTGGGAAGATTATACAGCTACATAATCACATCCCTTTATAATGCTGTAATATCCTGATATCTATAAGCTTATAAAGACATTCAAATATATGCGATATTGGTGTGTGTTAAAAAAAAAAAAAAATCTGCCTTAAAGGACTATTGGGAAGATTAAATGAAATGACTGCATGGGGGCTGGCCTGCTGGCTCAAGTGGTTAAGTGGGCGCGCTCCGCTGTGGTGGCCCAGGGTTCGCAGGTTCGGATCCTGGGCGCGCACCAGTGCACTGCTTGGCAAGCCATGCTGTGGCGGTGTCCCATATACAGTGGAAGAAGATGGGCACGGATGTTAGCCCAGGGCCAGTCTTCCCCAGCCAAAAAAAAAAAAGAAAAAAAAAAAACGAGGATTGGCAGATGTTAGCACAGGGCTGATCTCCTAAAAAAAAGAAAGAAATGACTGCATGAAAATACTTGTAAATTTTCAAGAACCACAAGAATGTCAGCTACATGCTGAGTCCAGTGTATGGAAGGGCTCAAGAGGACACAGAGGTTGAAGTCAGAGCTCTGTTCAAGAAGGTTACTTTTTTCCTTAACCTTATTTATATACAGCGCTTGCTTACATTTCTTTTAAATATTTTAAGTCATACAAATTATACATGAATGTACCCTTTCTGTTCAAATTCAAACATTACCCCGCTCTTTCTAGGCCTCCTCCTCTCTGGGGAGACAGTTATTATTAATAGTTTGGTGAATGGCTGGAAAAGTCTGGAGACTTTTTTCAATGCTTTTTCCATACAACCATGTATATATAGGTATATGGTTTTACAGACTTTTTTTTTTTTTTTTTAGATTTAAACAAATGGGATCATAATATACAAATTACTTTGTGGTATTTCCTTTAATGATATGAACGGATTTTTCCACAACAGTCCACATAGATCTATCTTGTTTTTAAAGTTATTCAGTGTTCTACAGTGTGGAGGGATTATAATTTATTTATAGCGCCTGTTTTTAAAAATGTAGTTTTAATCACACCCTTACTGGCTAAATAGTGAAATATAAACTTTTTCTCTTAAGAGGACAAGTAGAAGTTGACCCTCATACTGAAATTACTTTATTTCAGATTTAAAATGGTTTATTCTGAAGAATCCACCTGCTTCACTTTTGAAGCATGTGAGCAAGAGCTATTCCAGACTCAAAGAATGATTTGTGGAGACACCTGCTGACAATATGTGTACGTATTTCATATTTATAAAGGCAGCAGGCAGGAACGTTTGCATATGGGCGACTGAGTGATGCTCCCCATGAACGTCACCAGCAGCATGACACACCTTTCAATATAAAAACCCTTTGGTGCTTCAAGTTCACTTACACAGGGTGGCTTTTTTTTTTTAATTTTTTTAATTTTATTTTTTCCCCCCAAAGCCCCAGTAGATAGTTGTATGTCATAGCTGCACATCCTTCTAGTTGCTGTATGTGGGACGCGGCCTCAGCATGGCCGGAGAAGCGGTGCGTCGGTGCGCGCCCGGGATCCGAACCCGGGCCACCAGTAGCGGAGTGCACGCACTTAACCGCTAAGCCACGGGGCCGGCCCCACAGGGTGCCTTTTAGTTAGAGGTTCAAAAAACCAGTAACTTCACAGAGGCCAAACAGGCCACAAACCTGGCTCTAGAGATGTACGTAGAATGAGTTGGCTTTGTTAATTTAATAGGATCTTATTTCACACACAAGGCTGTCTCATTTAATTTTATTTATTTATTTTTTCCCCCAAAGCCCCAGTAGATAGTTGTATGTCATAGCTGCACATCCTTCTAGTTGCTGTACGTGGGACACGGCCTCAGCATGGCCATCGAAGCGGCGCGTCAGTGCGTGCCCGGGATCCGAATCAGGCCGCCAGCAGCGAAGCGCGCGCCCTTAACTGCTAAGCCACGGGGCCGGCCCAAGGCTGTCTCATTTAGATGACCTCTGATACCGAGTAAGGCCTCCGGACAGGCCCCTGGTTTGTATACCATGTGGCTCCTGTCAAAACGGCTGTGTGGACAGAGGTGATTTAAAGGGAACTTCTTAGTGGATTCTGGGGAGTGGAGGGGAACAAAAGAGATGGATTGGGAAAGAGATGACATGATGGTCAGCAGAAAAAAAGGATTCCTGGCCTTTCTACTTTAAAGTCTTGTTATGAGTGTGCATGTGAACATGTGTGCACGTGCGTTTGGTGGTGGTGGTGGGCGTGGGGGGTATTTTCCAAGGTGGAAAAGACCCAATGTTTTAACATTCAAATGAAAATGTAACACATATTTTTGAGACCTCATTCAAATTATTCAGTGTCATTATCCGACGTCACAGGGTACATCCAGCACGCTATTATGTTAATTTGGAAGAAATTCCACATGTGCGTGTGAACAAAAATAAGTGATCGCACCATTGTTCATGTTCTAAAATTTATCCTAATAATAAACTCTTTTGAGTCATAAAACTGCCTTCCTCCCACCTCCCCTAAGACATTCTACAGGCAAAGGCACAGGTGGCAGAATGATGTACTTTTGTGCCATAGTTCACATCTCAGCAAGATTCCCAGAAAATGACAGTCTTCTACATAGAAAGATATGAAAAATGATTTAAAAATCAAATGTGCTTGGAACTTATGCTGCATTTTAATACAAAAGCACCTTGAAGGAGGAGCAACGGTGTCTGTGGTTCCCTGTTTTTCAGGAACACTGGCACGGACCCCATGAGGAGCCTTGTGTCGGCAGGCCACACAGGCCCTATCCAGGGCAGGTAGGAGTTTTGATGCCCAAGGACCCAGGTCTGCATTTTCCTCAGGAAGCTCAGAGAACTGTAGCCCACAGACTGAGCATGCAATTTTCTTTACCATCAGCCGCCATCTACCTTCCCAGTGTCTTCTCACTTAAATGCACTTCCTCCTCACAGAGGTCACAGGGACACTTGGTCGTTCCCAGAATGTGCCGTGCTCCCCGGGACTGGGTGCCCTCTGGCAGGAATGCCCATCTCAGCCTGGGTTCTTGGGGAAACCTGGACTCACCCTTCACCACTGAGCTCAGGCATTCCCTTTGCTGGGTGGCCGTTCCCGTCCCCTGAACACAGTCCCCTTCACGCAGCTCCAGGCCCTCCTTTGTGTCCTGCAGGGTCTGGCACACCTCGCCATGAAGAGCACGACCAGGCTGCGCTGTGATTATGTCACAAATACTGGTCCCTGCCCTACACCCATCCTGGCAAGGACTATTCTCTCATTCTTCCCTCTATCCCCAGCAGTTAGCACTGCCCAGTGGACGGCAGGCTCTTTAAAAATGTTCAAAACATGGATGAATGCATGAACAAATTCGAATGAACAGACAGATGGATGGCGGGATGGAAGGAAGAAGACACTGGGTGTTTCCCGTTCCTGGCTCCTGGAGCCATTCTGCTTTCCATCCAATTTCAGGTGGCACCTGGATTTTACCTCATTACACAAACAAGACGACAACAGTTTTAAAACAAAAGAAGAAAACTGTATGGCTACTTTTTATTGGGCAAGAGACTGGATATATATACATTTAACAGCACAAAGCAAACGGAGCTAGTGTCCACAGGAAGGGAGGCCTCCCTCACCCCCAGTGGTGCATCACTGAGCATCAGTGGGCTCCATGGGGCCGATTTGTGCACACACTCGGGACGCATGTTCTCGAGTATTAGTTCACCTTTTAGATTGGAATCTTCCTCAAATAATTTTACTTGCTGCTGCCTGACATGAAAGAAATAGACTGTAACCTTTCCCCGCTGTGCTTGGTGCCAGGAGGATGGATTTGCTGTTACTGTCCTAGGCTCCAGGGTCCCTGCACGTGGGTTTGAGGTTTTTTTTCCTCTTGGCTGTCACTGTGAGTACACAGCTTTGGTTACTCTTAAGAGAAATAAAAAAAAAAAGAAGTCTTTGGGATGGAAGAAAGGAGGGAATAACCTGGATCCCAAAGATAAAGAAGAACAAGATGATCAAAATCAGTAGCATTAAGCCTCCAGAAGGGGCAGGGGAGGAAATGGATGCTGTTCTCTGTTCTTGCAGTGTCAAGTGAAACAACGCTGCCACCTCCGGGCACGGGCAGAATTGCACCCTGCCAGCATGGGGCTCGAGCTCCGGCCAGTCTGCCTAAGGCTGTACTCCTCAGGCCTCATCTTTTACAACTTTTTTTTTTTCCAGAGTAAAATTTTAATGAAGTACAGCACACATATTGAAAAGTATATAAATCCTAGGGGTGAAATTTGATGAATTTTCACAGCATAAACACATCTGTGTAACCAGCACTCAGGTCAATGATCAGGATGTGACCAACCTCCTGAAACCCCCTCTGGCCCCCTTCCAGGCACCATCTCCACACCATGGGCACCATCAGCCCAGCACTAACACCACAGATTAGTTCTGCCTGTTTCAAAACAACTTCTAACCCTTTCATAAT